GCCATCCCTGGGGGGGCTGCGATCTGTGAAACTGTCGCCACTTTCGAGGCCTGCTGGGGGGCCCAGTACAGTGACGCCACGGGCGGACCCAAATTAGACCTCGCCATCCCTGGGGGGCTGCGATCTGTGAAACTGTCGCCACTTTCGAGGCCTGCTGGGGGGCCCAGCACAGTGACGCCACGGGCGGACCCAAATTAGACCTCGCCATCCCTGGGGGGCTGCGATCTGTGAAACTGTCGCCACTTTCGAGGCCTGCTGGGGGGCCCAGCACAGTGAGGGCCACGGCGGATTCAAATTAGACCTCGCCATCCCTGGGGGGCTGCGATCTGTGAAACTGTCGCCACTTTCGAGGCCTGCTGGGGGGCCCAGCACAGTGACGCCACGGGCAGATTCAAATTAGACCTCGCCATCCCTGGGGGGCTGCGATCTGTGAAACTGTCGCCACTTTCGAGGCCTGCTGGGGGGCCCAGCACAGTGACGCCACGGGCGGACCCAAATTAGACCTCGCCATCCCTGGGGGGCTGCGATCTGTGAAACTGTCGCCACTTTCGAGGCCTGCTGGGGGGCCCAGCACAGTGGGCCACGCGCGGATTCAAATTAGACCTCGCCATCCCTGGGGGGCTGCGATCTGTGAAACTGTCGCCACTTTCGAGGCCTGCTGGGGGGCCCAGCACAGTGACGCCACGGGCGGACCCAAATTAGACCTCGCCATCCCTGGGGGGCTGCGATCTGTGAAACTGTCGCCACTTTCGAGGCCTGCTGGGGGGCCCAGCACAGTGACGCCACGCGCGGACCCAAATTAGACCTCGCCATCCCTGGGGGGCTGCGATCTGAGATCCCCGCTTTCGAAGTGGCTAGGGTTGCTCAGGCATTGGAACTAATCACCATTATCTAGTCCTTGTCCTGAAGCCAGTGTCCTGCGAGTCTCCCGAATTCCGTCTGCAGACATATGTAACCCTCGCTCCGTCATCGCCCCCCTTATAAAGTATCCTAAACTACTTGCGCCCCGCGTTTGCGCAGGGGTTGGGTACGTCGCCAGGGTAATTTTTTGGGGATTTTTGGGTTCCCGCCTTTTCGGGTTGAAAACGGCCGCACGCGGCCCTGGGGGTCTCCGAGGTCGCTTTCCTCAGGGGGGTGCCTGCGCGCGCCATTGCGTGAGGAGTATCTCGTGCAAGGCGGTGCGTTCTCGAGCAGCGGTCAGGGGGCGCCGTTCCTCCCGCATGCCGGGTTTGCAAAAATCTGGCCAACTGTCTCTGGGGAGCGCCTGCGCGCGCTTCAGGCGCCGTAGAGCCTGGATGAGAGGCTCCATGCCGCAGCTCTCCCACGAGACGAACAGAAGGCAAAAGGTGCTGGCCAGTCTGGCAGACGTTTATGCGAAGATTCGTTCCGTCGCCGCCAGGGAATGCCTCTGCATCATGCAAGGGCGCAAGGGCGCGGGTCCGCCTTGGACCGCAGTCTTCTCGCCTGACGGGCACAAAGGTGCCAGTTGGCTCTGACAGCGACGCGCTGGGTATTTGGCCGGCTGCCACCGGGGAGTGCCTTCGCACATGGCAGGGCCACGGGGGCCGCGCGGTCTCTGCCGCGTTCTCGCCCGACGGGTTGGAGGCGCCAGGGACTTCCAAGTGGGGCACGTCGAAGATCTGGTCGGTCGCCTCCGCGGGCTGCCTTCATGTAGTCGAACGATCGAACGCGTCGTGCCGTTCACCGCGCCCCACTCGCCTGACGGGCCCGATGTGCTGGCGTCATCGCCCGAGGGCTGCGATGCTGCGATTCATCCTTTTCCGGGCACCGTTGCCAGTTTCACACCGTGTGCTGTAGATCGTCCTTGAGGTTGCTTTAGTTGTTCCGTGCTAAGCTTTGGTTGTTTCGAGGGTACCCTTTTGTGGAACGAATGTCGGCCAGCTCGGCGATGCGTGGAGGAGGAGGAGGAGGAGGAGGAGGAGGAGGAGGAGGAGGAGGAGGATGCGCGGCGGCTGCGAGGTGGGGCGCGGGGGCGGCCTTGGTTTCTTCCATCTTCATGCGCGCATTCATCTTTGATCCGATGCACTTGCTGGATGCTGGTGCGTTTTCTCAATTTGTAGTTTTGCGATTGCGGCGACAACGCGCTGCCGAGTCCCCGGCCGTCTTGGGAGCTTCTCTTGAGGCCTCCTTGATTGCCCAGCAGCTGCCCACCTGAGCTTCCCGCGGTCTTTCCCCTTTCCTCCTTTGTCCTCCTCGTCCTCTTCTTCCTGTCTCTTCCCCCTCTCTCCAGGCAGCTTTGCCTTGCCAGCTTGCCGGTCGGGCCATCCTTCCCCTCGCGGGGGATTCGTCTCCGCGTGGTCGCGCGCGGCGCGCTCGCTCAGCACCTCTGAAGCAGAGGGGCGCTGCTTGAAGGCGGGGCGCCGCTCCTGCGCTCCCGGGGCGAACTGGCGCAGAAGCTCGGGTGAGCGAGCGCGTGCTCGCGCGCGCGAGCAGGGCGTCCCCTCGCGTGGGGCGCGAATGCGGCCGCGGACTTCGACCCGGACTTCGTTGCCGATGCGCACCGCTCCGTCGCGCAGCTGCAGCCTCTTTGCGCGCTCCCCTTCTCACGGCCCGCGGCCGCGTGCTCGGATGCCCTCCGACGGGGGGTTTTCGTTCAATGGTTTCAAAGGTGTAATCGCGCGGCCTTTGCGAGCTGCTTTCAGCCTAGCCCGCGTTTCCAGACAGAAAAAGTGGAGTAAAAGCTTCAAAACTCGTTCCACGAGGCGCCCAGACAGCATGCTAAGGAATCCCGCAGTACAGGTATCCAAGAATCCCCTGGCCCAAACCTCCAGCACAGTAGCGATATGGGCCGCAGGCCATAGATAAGCAAGCAATGGGTTTGGCGACGGACCCATGCCTATGCAGTCATGTGTAGTGCAGGGCGTGGGTCTCTCTTCATGCATTGCGCGCCGCGGGGCAACGCGTCCACGGGTGCGCTGAACTCCTTGTGAGGTTACGATCCGCGTGCAGGGCCGCGCGAACACGCCCACTGAGGCCGTGAGTTGACCTCCTCCGGGGCGTATTTCGACATGGGGGGGGCGCCATGCGAAGTTGCCCAGTGGTGCCATAGGTGGAGTTCCTTCTGAGGCACGGTTCGCGTGACAGGTGTGCCGACATTGGCGGGTGGGCGATGTACGAATCTTTTCTCTGGGCCGTAAGGTTGCGCTCCTTGTGGGCGCGATCCTCGTGATGGGGTGTGCCGCGGCGCGCAGTGTGAACACTGCCTCTGGGGCCGTGGGTGGAGATCGCTGTGGGCCACGATCCGTGTGAGAGGCGTGCCGAAGTAGGCAGGAGGTCGGGATGCGAACCTTATCTTTGGGGCCGTCCTTGGAACTCCTTGCGGGCCAAGGTCCGTGTTAGAGGTGCCGAAGTGAGCGGGGCGACGCTATGAAGTTTCCTTCTGGTGCCGCAACATGCAATTGCTTGCGGGGCACGATCCGCGTGATGGGCGTGCCACTATGCGAACCTTGCGTTTTGGGACGTAGGTGGAACTCTCTGTGGGGCGCGATCCCTGTGAGGGGTGTGCCGACATGGTCGGGGCAGCCTAAGCCAACTTTGTCTCTGGGGCAGCAGGTGGAGCTCCCTGACGCGCACAATCTGCGTGACAAAAACTGTCCTCCGATACTGGAGAATTAGTTTAAGCTACAACTAGAAATTACTAGAACCCAAACCCGCGCGCAACGCGCGCGTGGTTCCATCCTACACATATGTATAGAAGGAGAGGGAAAGAAAGAGAGAGAAAGAGAGAGAGAGAGAGACACACACACACAGGGAGGGAAATCACACGACTTGTGGAGAAACAAGAAAGACATAACTCCAGCATGGACACGCATAGCAACATGTAAACCAGTCCGACACACATCAACGCACCGCACATCAGATCCAATAACCTACGGGATCCAGTGCAACCCAGCGTACCACGAATCAGATCAAGGGTCAGCAAGACAAAACAAACTTCAGTGATTGCGTGGCAGGCGTCGTGGTCCAGCCTTTGGTCGGGACCTTATTCACGCATCGAATAGTCAGCGTTACCGAGGTCGCAACCCATCGGCCCATCGGCGGGACCTTATGGCCGCACCGACGAAGCTGTTGCACCATTTTGCAACCTTGTGGCCGAACTGCGTGGCCACACGGTAGAAACAAAAAGGCTTGCCAGGGCGCAACCGACGGGACCCAGGGACGGAGCCTTGTGACCCTACCGGCGAAGCAGCTTCAACCATGGCGCAGTCTTTGGGCTGGACCCTGTGGCCAGATCGGAGAATCAGCGGTGTCCAGGTTGAAGCCGTTGGCCAGGCAGCCGTGGCCACATTGAAGGACCAGCGCAACCCATCGGGCAATCCATGGGTGGGGCCTTGTGCCCGCACCGGTGTCTCCGCACCACGTGGTACCAAGTCTTCAGGTAATGAACATGAATTCTTGATTGCAAGGCATGTAGGTGGAAGAGAAAGCGCGATACATGTGGCGAGATACAGAGAGAGAGAGAGAGTGAAGAAGAGAGATAGAGAAGAGAGAGAGAGAGAGAGAAAGAGGGAGAGAGAGGGACATAAATAGAGATAACACAATATCAAGAAAGAGAGAGAGAGCGCAAAACTGAGAAGAAGGAAAGAGAACGTGAGAGAGAGAGAGAGAAATACGATGAACACAAGTCCTGCTTAGATGAGTAGGTGGAAACTCGTGAGAGTCGATTCGATATATCACCACCCGGTTGTTGTGCTTCATAAGGGGAGTTGTGCTTCATAAGCCCGGTCTGATTTGAGAAGGGTGGGCCAACGGTGGTGCCAGAGACTTGGGCATTCTCAGCATACGAAGTCGTGAAGAAACAGCGATCGGATCCCCGAGCAATATTTTTACGCGCGTGCTTGTGGTTGCGCTCTTGACATGTGACTCTTGAGTGCTCCATGGCCCGAAGGGATGCAGATATGATTGTCGTTTTGTTCGGACAATGCCACGATGCGAGGGATGTTGGCTGCTGACCTGATGGGTCCCCCCTCCGCCAGAAGGATGGCACGAGCTTCCTCCCCTGTGGAGTTCAGCGAGGCCCGCGCCAGTATAGGGGCACTGTAATTTGGAATTCGGGAGAGCGTGGAGGATTTTGCCAGTCGAAAGAAGAGAACACGAGGAGGAGGAGGAAAAGGAGGAGGAGGTAGGGAGATGATGAGCGGTTGATTCACGACGAGGACAAGTGAGGGCGAACTTCCTGAGAGTTGGGTGGTCGTGGCATGCCTTCGCTATCTGGGCGACCCGTCTGGTCATCATGAGCCTTGCAGTCGGCTGCGGCAATCTGGGGAACTTCGGACTCGGTGCGCGAGCTCTGGAACGCGAGACCCCAGCCGAGTTTTGAAAGATCGTTGGAGTTCAATCCAAGGTGTTCCGTCGTTCTGCATCGCAGTCATGGCATGTGTTGTGCCTGCCTCGTGTTGCGCTTGACATACGGCCGGCCCAAAGAGCTGGTCCAGCTGCTGGCTTCTCAAGGTCCAGTTGGCACCTGATGCCAGCATGGCTTTGTTTGGCCTGCTTGGCCTGCGCGGGCAGAATCGCTGTGCACCGAATCGAATGCGCCTTAGGCCAGACACCTCCGCCGCCTGTGGCCGAGAAGCCCAAATCGTATCACCTTAAAACAAGGCTAGGATCGGGCTAAATCGCTCCAGAGCGTTCCGGAGCGCTCTCAGAGCGTTCCGGAACGCTCTGGAGCGGCCGCGGCGCCCAATATATCCTCCAAATCCGCCGATTCTCAGAGATTTCGAGTTATCCCGATCCGATTTTGTCCCGATCTTCGCGTCGTTTTGCACCTTGGCGACTTCTGTGGCCTCACGGTGCCGTGCTGCGGCTCTCTTGGGTCCCTCTTTTGGGGGCCTCCTGGGGGCGTTTTCTGAGCCGTTCGGGGGGCCATCCATGGCCGTCGTGGGGCCGTCTTCGTGTCATTGGTTGGGCCGTCTTGGTGTCATTGTCGTTTTTGAGCAGTTCGGGGGCCATCTTGTAACTATCTTGAGCGGTAGTCCAGATTTTGTAATAAAGGGAGGGGGGTCTCATTTCGGGGGGGGTCTCTTCTTGGCTATCTTGGAGGGCCTGGGGGGTCTGGGGACGATGTTTTGGAGGGTTCTCCCACGGGGGAGGTCTGAAATGACTTCTCTTGGAGGGTCCAGACCCCCTCCCTTTTATTACGAAATCTGGAGTAACTATCTTGAGCGGTAGTGGTTTCCAACAGTGATGCTCCACATCATGTGTTGCAAAGGGGGGTCTTCTCGGGGCTTCTGTAGGGTGTTCGTCTGGAGCCCGCGTGAGGCGCCCTTGGGCCATCTTGGCGGCAGCTTGCGTTGCTTGCGCGGCTTGGGCGGCATGGTCAAGGCAGCACTTGGAGAGGTGGTTTGGAGAGTCGGACCGGAGACGCCATTGTGAACGCATGGGACGGCGGATCCAGCGGCCTCCTGCCCATGCCACCACCATGCCTCGATTGTGGGTCAAGCTGTAGTGGCACTTATTGTAGACCTGAATACTATCGAAGACGCCTACGGCGAATCACCGCCGCCCCCTGCCTTTTTGGAAGCGCCTATGTGGCCGAACGTTGAGGCCAGACCTGCCAAGCTATCGGACCACGTGTTCCCCGAATCGGTTTGGAAAGCCTTCGGGGAACACGTGGGCATCTTGAAGGTCATCTTGGCCGTCTTGGAGGCCTCTTGGGCAAGCTTTGGGCGATCTTTGGGGCTTTTTGGGCCGTCTCGGGCCAGCTTCGAGCCAACTTCGGCCATCTTGGTGGGTTCCTGGCACGTCTGAAGCCGTCGGAAGCCGTTTGGGGGGCCTCTATGGGCCGACTTGGGGCCCGCTTGGAATGCTCCAGGGCCGTCTTGGAGGCCATCTTGGGCGTCTGGGAGGCCATCTTGGGCGTGTTGGAGGCCTCTTGGGCCCTCTTGGGGCCCTCTAGGGGCCATCTTGGAGGCCACTTGGGCCATCATGGGGCTCTCTTGGGGGCCTCTTGGGCGATCTTGGGGGCTTCTTGGGCCGTCTTGAGCCGTCGGAGAGCCGAAAAGGCGCAAATGCCAAAATCCTTCAAAAACCAATGGAAAATCAATGATTTTGGCCTCTTCGGACTCTCCTGGAGGACCTCTTGGAGGCCTCTTGGGCCGTCTGGGAGGCCTCTGGGGGGCCTCTTGGGCCGTCTTGGGCCGTCTTGGACTCTCTTGGGCCGTTTTGGAGGCCGTCTTGGACCGTCTTGGAGGCATCATAAGGCCATCTTAGCCGTCTTAGAGACCATCCTGGCCGTCTTAGAGGCATCTTGGAGGCCATCTTGGAACCGTCTGGGGCAGGAAATTGGGGAATTGAGCTCCTGGGCATCCTTTCCGGGTGGCCGGCGGGACGGGCCGAAGCCCACTGGGGAGTTCTTTTAGAAAAAGAACCAAAACCAAAACCGATAAAATCTAACACGCCAGGCACCCCTGCAAGCAGGGGGCGGCGGATCGAAGACGCCTACGGCGAATCACCGCCGCCCCCTGCCTTTTTGGAAGCGCCTATGTGGCCGAACGTTGAGGCCAGACCTGCCAAGCTATCGGACCACGTGTTCCCCGAATCGGTTTGGAAAGCCTTCGGGGAACACGTGGGCATCTTGAAGGTCATCTTGGCCGTCTTGGAGGCCTCTTGGGCAAGCTTTGGGCGATCTTTGGGGCTTTTTGGGCCGTCTCGGGCCAGCTTCGAGCCAACTTCGGCCATCTTGGTGGGTTCCTGGCACGTCTGAAGCCGTCGGAAGCCGTTTGGGGGGCCTCTATGGGCCGACTTGGGGCCCGCTTGGAATGCTCCAGGGCCGTCTTGGAGGCCATCTTGGGCGTCTGGGAGGCCATCTTGGGCGTGTTGGAGGCCTCTTGGGCCCTCTTGGGGCCCTCTAGGGGCCATCTTGGAGGCCACTTGGGCCATCATGGGGCTCTCTTGGGGGCCTCTTGGGCGATCTTGGGGGCTTCTTGGGCCGTCTTGAGCCGTCGGAGAGCCGAAAAGGCGCAAATGCCAGAATCCTTCAAAAACCAAGGAAAATCAATGATTTTGGCCTCTTCGGACTCTCCTGGAGGACCTCTTGGAGGCCTCTTGGGCCGTCTGGGAGGCCTCTGGGGGGCCTCTTGGGCCGTCTTGGGCCGTCTTGGACTCTCTTGGGCCGTTTTGGAGGCCGTCTTGGACCATCTCGGGCGGACTTGGAGGCCATCTTGGGCCATCTTCGCGATTTTTTGAGGATGTCCCGAGCGAAACGGCCGTTTTTTGGAGGATTTTTTCCGGATTGAGGTCCTTTCGGCTTCCTCCCGGGACCCCGGCGGGACGGGCCGGAGCCCACTGGAGAGTTCTTTTAGAAAAAGAACCAAAACCAAAACCAGCTCATCCAGCACGCCGTGCACCCCTGCAAGCAGGGGGCGGCGGATCGAAGACGCCTACGGCGAATCACCGCCGCCCCCTGCCTTTTTGGAAGCGCCTATGTGGCCGAACGTTGAGGCCAGACCTGCCAAGCTATCGGACCACGTGTTCCCCGAATCGGTTTGGAAAGCCTTCGGGGAACACGTGGGCATCTTGAAGGTCATCTTGGCCGTCTTGGAGGCCTCTTGGGCAAGCTTTGGGCGATCTTTGGGGCTTTTTGGGCCGTCTCGGGCCAGCTTCGAGCCAACTTCGGCCATCTTGGTGGGTTCCTGGCACGTCTGAAGCCGTCGGAAGCCGTTTGGGGGGCCTCTATGGGCCGACTTGGGGCCCGCTTGGAATGCTCCAGGGCCGTCTTGGAGGCCATCTTGGGCGTCTGGGAGGCCATCTTGGGCGTGTTGGAGGCCTCTTGGGCCCTCTTGGGGCCCTCTAGGGGCCATCTTGGAGGCCACTTGGGCCATCATGGGGCTCTCTTGGGGGCCTCTTGGGCGATCTTGGGGGCTTCTTGGGCCGTCTCGAGCCGTCGGAGAGCCGAAAAGGCGCAAATGCCAGAATCCTTCAAAAACCAAGGAAAAATCAATGATTTTGGCCTCTTCGGACTCTCCTGGAGGACCTCTTGGAGGCCTCTTGGGCCGTCTGGGAGGCCTCTGGGGGGCCTCTTGGGCCGTCTTGGGCCGTCTTGGACTCTCTTGGGCCGTTTTGGAGGCCGTCTTGGACCATCTCGGGCGGACTTGGAGGCCATCTTGGGCCATCTTCGCGATTTTTTGAGGATGTCCCGAGCGAAACGGCCGTTTTTTGGAGGATTGTTTTCCGGATTGAGGTCCTTTCGGCTTCCTCCCGGGACCCCGGCGGGACGGGCCGGAGCCCACTGGAGAGTTCTTTTAGAAAAAGAACCAAAACCAAAACCAGCTCATCCAGCACGCCGTGCACCCCTGCAAGCAGGGGGCGGCGGATCGAAGACGCCTACGGCGAATCACCGCCGCCCCCTGCCTTTTTGGAAGCGCCTATGTGGCCGAACGTTGAGGCCAGACCTGCCAAGCTATCGGACCACGTGTTCCCCGAATCGGTTTGGAAAGCCTTCGGGGAACACGTGGGCATCTTGAAGGTCATCTTGGCCGTCTTGGAGGCCTCTTGGGCAAGCTTTGGGCGATCTTTGGGGCTTTTTGGGCCGTCTCGGGCCAGCTTCGAGCCAACTTCGGCCATCTTGGTGGGTTCCTGGCACGTCTGAAGCCGTCGGAAGCCGTTTGGGGGGCCTCTATGGGCCGACTTGGGGCCCGCTTGGAATGCTCCAGGGCCGTCTTGGAGGCCATCTTGGGCGTCTGGGAGGCCATCTTGGGCGTGTTGGAGGCCTCTTGGGCCCTCTTGGGGCCCTCTAGGGGCCATCTTGGAGGCCACTTGGGCCATCATGGGGCTCTCTTGGGGGCCTCTTGGGCGATCTTGGGGGCTTCTTGGGCCGTCTCGAGCCGTCGGAGAGCCGAAAAGGCGCAAATGCCAGAATCCTTCAAAAAACAATGAAAAATCAAGGATTTTGCACCCCTGCAAGCAGGGGGCGGCGGACGAAGACGCCTACGGCGAATCACCGCCGCCCCCTGCCTTTTTGGAAACGCCGATGTGGCCGAAAGTTGGACTAGAGCTTGGCCAAGCTATCGGACCATGAGTTCCCCGAGTCGGTTTGGAAAGCTTTCGGGGAACACATGGGAGAGAATGATTATGAACAGGAAGAGGAAGAGGAAGAAATAGAGTAGGAGGATGAGGGTTGTTAGGAGTCTCTTGGGGCACCCTTGGGGTCTGTTGGGGGCTTCTTGGGGGCCTCTTCGAGGCCTCTTGGAGGCATCTTGGGGGCCTCCTTGGGCCTCTTGGGGGCCTTTGGGGGCTTCCTGGGGGTCTCTTTGGCCGTCTTAGGGCGTTCCTGGTCCGTCTGACGCCGTCTGGAGCCGTCTTGGGGGCCTCTCTGGGCCGTCTTGGGGCCCTCTTGGGGCGCTTCAGGGCCGTCTTGGAGGCCATGTTGGGCGTCTTGGAGGCCTCTTGGGCCGTCTTGGGGCGCTCTTGGGGCCGTCTTGGGGGGCCCTTGGGCCGTCATAGGGCCTTCTTGGAGGCCTCTTGGGCGATCTTGGGGGCCTCTTGGGCCGTCGGAAGGCCGAAAAGAAGAAAACGCAAAAAACCTTCAAAAACCTAAGGAAAACCAATGATTTTGGCCTCTTCGGGCTCTCCTGGAGAACGTCTTGGAGGCCTCTTGGGCCATCTTGGAGGCATCTTGGGGCCATCTTGGCCGTCTTGGAGGGCATCTTGGGCCGTCTTGGAGGCATCTTGGAGCCATCTTAGCCGTCTTAGAGACCATCCTGGCCGTCTTAGAGGCATCTTGGAGGCCATCTTGGAACCGTCTGGGGCAGGAAATTGGGGAATTGAGCTCCTGGGCATCCTTTCCGGGTGGCCGGCGGGACGGGCCGAAGCCCACTGGGGAGTTCTTTTAGAAAAAGAACCAAAACCAAAACCTGAAACATCCAGCACGCCGTGCACCCCTGCAAGCAGGGGGCGGCGGATCTAGTGGCCTTCGGCCCATCCCGCCACCGTGCCTGGGATGTGGGTGATAGGCCTCTTGGATGTTCGTTGGGATGTCGTGGGGGGCCTCTCGGGGGCCTGTTGGAGGCAGTGTTGATGCCTCTTTAGGCATCTTTGGGGCCTCTTTGGGCATCTTTGGGGCCTCTTGGGACCTCCTGGGAGCATCTTGGGGCGGGAAACTCAAATTGTTGGTTTGGGCTCCCCCTCTTGGGCCCGACTAGGGGGCCGTCTTGGGCACGCTGCCCTTCAGAGTTTTCGAGCATGCTGCACGAATTTGTGCCAAGCGCCCGTGGCACTCCACTGCGTGTCAATGGCGGATGTCAAGAAACAGATACAGGGAGCACGAGCAGGAGGAAGAGCGGAATAGACAGCGTCCCCAAAGGAACCGATGATGGCAATCCACGCACCCCATGCAGGGCGACAGTGCGCTGCCGAGCGCCGCACCCTCCTGCGCCACCGAAGCCGAGGATACGGGGCACTACGAGAAGACGGCGCGCAGATGGGTACGAGAGTGGAACGAAACAGGGGTGGGGGAACCTTGCAGAACCATCTGGACGACCATCGGATATCGTGAACATATCGCGCCCTCGCACTGAGCTTTGCAGGCGCACCTGAAAGATTCCACCGTACATCCAGGAACCCGAGCGCATATTCAGGGTGCCAGCCTGAAACATGCCGCAGTCCTCGACATGATTCCGTGATCGAATGCAGTCTCGCCTACGGAATTTCGACCAGGTGGATCTTGGCTCCTGTGAGGCATCCCAACGGAGAGCGACTCGCCACAGCAACAGTTCCAACATCAATACCGACTGGTTGGACGTTGGCCCAGCTCGAAGACGATGCAGAGAAGGCGCAGACCAGTACGCTAAGATATTGTAGAACGCTCTGCCCATGTCTGATCAGTCGTCCAGGAGAGGATCTTTAGAACACATCAAGGCGACAGCAGCCAGCCAGTTGGTTATTTCTCTTTGCCTCCTGCTTGTAGCCGGCCTCTCAATACCTGTCTAATTTCTCATGCTCACCGTTTGAGCCGCGCTATTCGTGTTAGCAAAGTGTTGCACGCTCGCTGTTATCCTGCGGCCAAGCCGCTCACTTCTATCTTTGTTGCCAGTGAGCCCCTTCCGGTCGAGGCCCGGAGGCGCATGCCTGGCACTGCCGACGGAGCAGATCCATTGACTACCACCGAAGCATTGTTCTACGACTCGGACGCGGACACCGACGACGAGTTCCAGGCGCGCCTGGCAGAGGCCCGGACGAGTTTGAAGGGGGGGTTCTTGGGAGGACGCTTGCAGCGAGAGCGTATCAGGTTCAGGCTCGCGGCATGAACATTGTGCTTTGCAGCGTGGGTCTTCGAGGAGGTATTGGATTGGGGCCCGTCAGAACGACGTCTCGTCCGACCGCCCACCCCCACTCCCCAGAGTGCCACCAGGCCACCAGCGTCGTCCCGACCTAGTTGTATGGCATCTTGTCCCCTTCATCGAGGGAATAAGGAAAAGCGACGACGGTGAGTCTCCCCTCTCATTTATGACCTCGTCCTCCGGTTTCTCCTAATTATTCTTTCTCGTCCTCTTCTTCGTCGTCATTGTCGTTTTCCTCCTCATCATCACCAGTCTTGCCATCATCATTCATCACCATCCTGTCCCTTCTGGACCCCCGCCTCAAGCTTTTGAGAACCTCCGAAATCTTAGGACAACCTTGGAACGCCCGCGAAAGCCTTTCCACAATCTCCCTCCGTCTCCCCCCTCCCTCTATGGCATGCTGATTGCCCTGCTCCCCAACAGCAGGAGGATGCGAGGGAAGAGCAGGAGGAGGATGAGGTGGATGGAACAGGACGAGGCGGGGTGCTCCCCGCGCTGCCCGAGGCGTACCGTGAGTGCTCACCTTCTCGCCAGCGCAGGCCAGGCGCGGCAGCATTTGCTTCCCTCCAGCCGCAGGGCCGCGCGGACGCTCGCGGGGTCCCTCCTCTGCGGCCGTCGTCTGCCGCCGTCGTCTACTGTCCATCGTCTTGCGTCCGTCGCCATTGTCGTTGTCGTCGTCGTTCTGTCTTCGGATCCACTGTGTGTTTAGGGTGTGTTTGACTCGATGCGGAATGCCTCGAGCCGAAAGTCCCCCCCCTCCCCTCCTGCCCGACTCCCACCAAAGCCCCCTTCTGCTTCGAGAGTGGGAGATGTCCGCAGTATCAGCGCACAACGCAGGAAAGAAAGCGTGCCAAACCTACCACCCGCGCGTCATGTAGCAAGTTTGTGCAGCAAGCCTTGTAGGTCGACAAAAGGCCAACGGTGTAAATCGCCTACTGCGGTGGGCAGCGGGACGCCCGAGCCCGAGCCTACTTAACTTGATCGGTTGGCCGCCCCGCCGCCACGCTACCCTTGCACTCGCGCAGGCCGTCGCACACCCAAGCCTGGACATAGGTACTTGCCCCCGTCGGTTGACGGTGCATCTTCGTCCTTCAGTTGCATCTCTAGGATCGTCCCCCGTTCACTTCGTTTGCAAGCTCTGGGAAGGCCGCAGTGACCAGATTGGTCACGAGACGTCCCCTGCCCCCCCAAGAGCCTGACGTAGCCCGCTGCCTGGACCCGGCCTGCTGCTGAAGGCAGGCGCGGGGCCGCCGTCTGGGCGCCAGAGTGTTGCAAGGCACGGTGGTGGTCGAGCTGTGTGCATAGCCGTGCCCGCCAGCGCTGGAGTGCTCGCACTGAGGCTGCAGGCTGGGCGCTGTCCGCGCTTCCCGCCTGGCTGTGCGCCACATCGGCCATCAGGGGTGCCCTCTCGGCCTCGGCTTCCTCGGCGAGGCTGTCGGCCATCAGGGATGCCTCCTCGGCCTCGGCTTCCTCTGCGAGGCTGTCGGCCTCGTTGGTAGACCCTTCGGGATCCACGTCCGCCTCCGTGTCCTCACCGCTCTACGGAGTGCACTGACCGCCCTCATTGTCTGTCGTCGTGAGCTCCACTAGAGCCCTCTCGTGGTTCGGGGCTTTCCGTTGGGCGGCGTGTGCTCCTGCATTTCGTCGCGACGTGTTCGGGGCGCTGGCCCTCGAGCTGCGGAGGCAGTGCTGCTTCCGGGCCCGTTGGTTGCGCTGGCCGCGCAGGCTGAGAGCTGGTCTGCGACGCCTCCGCTGGCGGGGGGCAGGTTCGGCCACGTAAGCGTAGCCGAGGGGCCCTGCCCGCCCGCTCAGCGCGGCATGCGGCGTCGCGCGGCGTCGTGCCAGGTGTTGCCCTGTCCGGCTGCGGCGGCTCCTCCTCCTCTTTTTCCTCCTCCTCCTCCTCCTCCTCCTCCTCCCTCCTCCTCCTCCTCCTCCCCCTCCCCCTCCCCCTCCTCCTCCTCCCCCTCCCCCTCCTCCTCCTCCTCCTCCTCCTCCTCCTCCTCCTCCTCCTGCTGGTGATGTAGTGGTGATGGCCCCCCCCTGCTCGTGCGTCGCCGGAGGAAGCGGGCACCGTCCGCGGGCGCGGGCGTCCACGCCGCTCTCCGCGCACGGTGCGCAGAAGTGCGCGGTGTTGCCACGCGGCGTTCGATGTCCGAGGAGCGGGTGCATTCGTGCCCGCGTCTGGGGCGTTGATCTTCCTGGACCTGGGGAGGCTGTGCACATGAATATAGTCTGGCCCCAGGGGTCCAGGCCATATCCATAGCCATGGGATCCCAGGACATCGGTTCCCCATGGGGATGGACTAGTTAGTACACTTGCCCCCCTTGCATGTTCTACCTCAGCAGCAGTGTGCCTGTTTTCGCTTCGATGATTGCGGGGTCGGCCCAACTGGGGGCCCAACACCTACGTCACACCACCCCACGTAGGGCGGCTTCGTACATCCTCTATCACCACCGCCCCATACTCTTCACGCTTTCGCGCCCCACACCCCTCTTCATGCCGCTGCTCCCGCTGATGGTGGCAGTGGTGGTGCGGTAGCACTCTTGCTGCTGCGTTTGGTTGCCCGCCTCCCCCATCTTTCTCCCTCTAGTTCCCAATCCTCCTTGATGATGGGATCAAGTGATCATGATGATGATGATGACGAGAAGGAGCAGGAACCGTGCAGCAGGCTGGCGGAGCGGAGCAAGAACCCGAGCAGCTTCGCCTCCTACGCCATGCAGGATCCGCCTTTGGGCCGCACCCTCGTCTCGTGCTGAGCGTGCTGCCCCCTCCCCCCCCCCCTTCAGCAGGGACCCCCGGGCTCTCGTCCTGCCTTCCTCCCGCTCCACTCCCTCCGCTGTCCTGCCTCTCCGCACGGGTCCTGTCCCGCTCTTGCGCCTGCCCATGCTCAGGCCCATGCGTTTTGCACGGTTGACGCTGCGCGTATCCCCGCCAGATATCCTTGGCATGTGCACTCGCTACAGCGGCCTAAGCGCCTCTGCAGCCAATTATCTCGCTCTGCGGCCCAGACGTTATTCCCGCTCGCTGGATCTGTCCTTTGAGCCGCCGAACAAAAAGTAGTATCCCCGCCAGCAGATTTGCAGCTTCTGTCTTCAGCCGCTGCTCTTAGGCCTGCTTGACCCTTGCGACGGCGCGCGGCCGTACCGCTTGCGCTCGCGAACAAAAGGTATCCCCACCGGCCCATCCAGAAACGGTGCCCAGGCGAGGTGCGTTGATCAGAGGCGTGTCGGAGCAATCAGTGGAACAAACAAGTGGGCAGCCGTTCAAGCGAAGGGCGGGATCAGTGAGCAGTACCAGGAGTCAAATGCGAATGCCTTCTCTGACCTTTTGATAGGGGGCATCGTTCCATCACTTGGACAATACTGGGGCCCTCTTGGGATCTTCTTTGGAGCATTCGGCAGCCTTCTGGGGCCATCTTGGAGGACATCAGTCAAAGATGGGGAGCAGGGAGCCCGCTCTCGAGGCCGAAGTATCGTCTTCCGGGGTGGCCTTGGGCGCTCTTGGGGGCATCTTGGAGCCCTCTTGGGCCCCTTCTGAGGCTCTATTTCGCCATCTTGAGGCCTCAACAGCTCATCAGAAGCGAAACGACGATACACCAAACATCAAGTGTTGTCCGCATCAGCGGGACGGATTTGGGGATCCTTGGGAGGCTCCGTGCCCAGTCGGAGCCGTTTTAAAGCGGTCTTGGGGCCTCGCGGAGGCATTTGGGACACCTCCTGGAGCCACATTGGGCTTTCTTGTGCGATCTTGGAGGCGATGTTGGTCTTGCTGAGGCCTTTTTGAGGATGTCTTGGGCCATCTTGGCCGCTCTGACCGCTCGCGGGGCGCTCCGTTCAGACCCAGGGTAGGGGGTAGGGAGAGGGATCAAGCTACCAACACGCAACACGCCGTCTCGCTCATTCCCACCCCCTCCCAGCACATCAGTAGCACCCGAGTGTCAGCATGGACAGGGGTCGCCATCGACAACGATCGGGAACCAATGCAGACGCCAGCTGGGTGAGCGAAGCCCGCGAGGTGCGCCGCACATGCCAGCTGCTCCACGCGCACCAGGTGCGCCACATGTCCCACCGTCGTTGTCAACGACCAATGCAACGTGGCGGCGGGTTTGTTGCGTGCGGGTGTGCGCCCGCGATCGCTTGGCATTTGTGTGGTGTGCCTGCGCGCAGCAGACCGTATGCCGCCCCCACCCCTCCGTCTCTGGCAACATGAGCTTGCTGTTGTGTTGCTTTTGAAAGGGATGGTGGGCCTGCGCGCAGACAGCAGGCAGTATGCCGTTCACCCCCGCCATCCCTGTCAACAAAAAACGAAGCAGTGTGAGAGCGAGGCGTCCGCGCATGATCCAGATTCGGGTGCAAGGTGCATTTTGCATGTTGTGTGCAACGGATGGTTGGGGGGTGTTGGCGTTGCAAACAGCAGGCAGTATGCCGCCCCCCCCCCCGCCAGAGAAAAGGTCTTTCTGTGGCCTCGTTGGGGTGTTCTGTGGCCCGGTTGTCCCGGTGGCGCCACTGGGGTTTTCTGTGGTCCACCCGCCGCTTCTGATCACCATGCCCCACCAAACACCATACAACGCACTCCAACTCCAACCTTGGAGACACAGACACGACTTGCACTGAAACCTTCGAGGCACAAACACGACACGCGACACGCACTTAAGCCTCAGAGACACAGACATGACACGCATTTACACTTTAGAGACACAGACACGACACGCACTGGAACCTTAGAGACACAGACACGACACGCACCGAAACCTTCAAGACCCAGGCGCGACACGCACTTAAACCTGAGAGACACAGACACGACACGCACTGAAACCTCAGAGACACAGAACCGACACGCATTGGAACCTTACAGACACAAACACGACACGCACTGAAACCTTCAAGACACAGGCACGACTTGGAGGCCAGGGATGAGCGGGAAGAGGATGAGGATTATCGGGATGAGGATATAGGGAGGAGGAGGAGGAGGAGGAGGAGGAGGAGCATGAGGGGAGGAGGAGCATGAGGGGAGGTGGAGGATGATTGGGGCGGATTCGGAGGGATGATGCACATTGTGTTGATGACGGTGGCGATGAGGATGAGGATGAAGATGAAACTGAGGACGATAATGATAATGATGATGTGGATACTGATGATGATGTTGATGATGTGGATGACGACGATAACAGTGATTGTTATGATAATGTTGATGATGGTGGTGATGATTATCGTGACGATGACGAGGATCATAATGATGACACCGACGGCTGCAACAACTATGACGACGGAGATGATGATGCTGATGATGATGATGCTGATGATGATGATGACGACGATGATGATGATGGGAAGACGAGGAGGATGTTGCAGACGGGCGCAGGATGATGAGGACCATGATGTCGATAACGACGAGCATGATGCCGATGGCGACGACGACGATGCTGATGATGATGATGGTTGTAGTGATACTGCTGTTGATGGTGATGGTGGTGGCGATTCTCATGCTGCTGATACTGATGCTGCTGATGATGATGAGGATGCTGCTGCTGATGATGATGACGATGATGATGGTGAGGGTGGGGAATGTGATGATGGTGCTGACGATTAGCTCACCGATGACGGCGACAAGTATAATAATGGTAGCTGCGGTTCTCATTATGCGGTTGATGGTGATGCTGACGAGGAGGAGGAGGAGAAGGAGGAGGAGGAGGTGGCGGAGGAGGAAAAAGAAGATCAAAGCGACTGCGTAGTTGTATCTGATTGTACCCTTGCATCCAATGGCCTTCGGCCCATCCCGCCACCGCACCTGGCTTGTGATTCAGAGTCCTCAGGGATGCTTCTTGCGGTCTCTTCGCGGCACTCTCGGTGGCCTTAGGGGGGGCCAGTTTGGGGGCCTTTGGGGAGCTCTCGGGGGCCTCTTGGGGCCTCCTGGGGGCCTCTTGAGGGCCTCTTGAGGGTCTCTTGGAGGCCTCTTTGGGGCCTCCTCGGGCTCGCGGGGCCGAAGGCTCTAACTGTCTGTTCGGGTCCCCCGCCTGGGCCCTATTTGGGGGCCGGTTTTGGGGGGAGTGTTGGGAGTTGTTGGAATCCCCTTGGGCCGCCGTGGGGCCCTCTTGGGCCGTCTTGGGGCCCTCTCGGAGGCCTCTCGGGGCGATCTTGGGGCTCTCTCGGGCCGTCTTGGGGCGTCGAGAAGCCGAAAGGGTGAGACCGCCAAACTATTTCCAAAAGCCGAAACCCAATCAATCAGTCAGTGAGTTTGGCCTTTTGGAGGCCTCCTGGGGCGTCTTGGAGACCTCTTCGGCCGTCTGGAGGCCATCTTGGGCGTCTTGGTCCGATCGGTTGGCGACTCGAAGCTCTCTTGGACCATCTTGAGGGCCTCTCGAGGCCCTCTTGGCCCGTCTCAGGGCCTCCTGGGCCCAGAACAACTCATGCGAGAAGCCGCGCGCAACTCCAAGAGATTTGAGATGTTTAGATCCAGACCTTCTCGATAATCTTTCAACCCAGATGGCTGAGGACTACAAGGGGCCTGAGGACAGGCCCACTCCGTGTATATATATATATATATACACACATACGAGGCTGATTTGGCGCTTCGCGCCATGCACTTTGTTCCTTGAAGCTTTGGAGCGGTTGGCCTGTCGCGCCTTCTTCTTTTTCCATTGATGCTTTGCTCGCTTGCTCGTATCATGGAGAAACGGGGGAAAGGGAGAAGGGGGCAGTCAATTTGGGATGGGAAAAGACGGTGAGTCGGAAAAGACTGTGAGTCGGAGACCACGGGCGTACGGAATGGCGTAAATGGAAACTGCTGAAGTCCTAGGTGTGCAGCAGCATTTCCAGAAAAATGGTTGCGAACCTGGGGTTGTGGGCAAATTGCGGATTTCCGTAATGAAATACCGTCTGAGCGGGCGAGAGATCAGAGACTACATGGGGGCCTGCCGAAGCGGTGTGAGGGCCGTGTGGCCCATCTCGGAACCACCTCGGACTGTCCTCGAGGCATCTTGGGACTGCCGCTCGCCCCTTTGCACGCTTGAGTGAACGTTGAGAAGGCGCCCTGGAGAGCTAGAGTTCCTGGGTTGCCCTGTTGAGGAGCGTCCAGATGGTGTTCCCAGGCTGTCATGGAGCCGCCTATGGGCAGTTTGGGAGTCGTCTAGGGCCCTCATGGCGCCTTTTCAAAGAGTGAGGATGCTGGTTTGGCTCGTGTTGGGGCCTCCCCTGGCCGTCAGGGCGCCGCCCATGGGCAGTTTGGGGGCCGTCCCGGACCCTCGTGGGTCCGCTTTGGCTCAGGAAGCGCGTTTGGGTTGACGTTGGAGCGGTGTTCGGAGCTTTGACGATGTTTTCGGACGCCCGGCAGGCCGAAGGAACGAATAGTAGTAAATCTTACAACATCATTGAAACATTTTGTTTCTGGTTCGAGCACGTCTTGGAGGTACCTTTCGGGTCGCCTCAGGGTATCCGATGAGGGCCAAGGCCAAGTTGATGCAACTTTGGACTGTCTTGGGCGTGTCTTGGGCCTTCCGCCAGCCGCCTTGGGGTCAGTGTGGGGCGGTCATGGGGCCGCTTGTGGGCAGTTTAGGGCCAGCCGTCGTAGGGTTAGTTTTGGGAAGTCATGGAGACTCTGGTGGGCAGTTTGGGGACTGCTTCGGGCGCTCATGGGGCCAGATGGGCCGTCGAGGAGCGGCTGTCATTGCGTTCCCAACGTTTTCGGACGCGTGGAAGGCCGAATTAGCGAGTATCCGAAAATCATACAAAAACAAATTAATCATTTA